TTGATGTATGGTAGTAACGATCGTGGCGATCATATAAACACCGAACACCATTTTCACCATATGAACTGTGGATAAGGAATGAACGACGCACTAGAGCTGAGGCATTAACCCTTCATGATGTAGAGCATCGAGGGAATAAAGGGTTGAGGTTGGAGCAAAGAAATAGGCACAGTAATCAGAATCTTGCAAAGACAGCACAAGAGTGTTCGTCTGTCAGCTCCGCAGGACATGACTTTGAGCATTTAGTTCGGAGATGAGGGATATGGGGCAACCAAGACAAAAAAGTTTCAAAGATAGGACCCAAGAGTTTAGTAGTACAGTATCTCTACGAAGAAAGCAATTTTCATAGAGGGACAAGGAGGGATAAGTAGTGCCATGTGTCCAAGCAAAAGTTATGGCACAATTCTTAGTTGGAGAGAACGTGAAGTTGTGATTAGTAGCTCAAGTCGACATACTATCGATCCCAAGTTGCAGTCTTAGTTGAATAAAGAAGAAATCAACTCTGGGACTGTAAAGAGTGAGTTCGTCTGCATAAAGGGCCTAAAGATCACTAACGGCAACCAAGAAACAAGTAGCGTTTAAAACACTACCCTGGGAACACCTTGCGTTGTACGTTTAGAATGTAATTTGTTACAGCTTTCTCACACATTGTTGGAAGGTGTACTCTAAACGTACGACGAAACAGGAAGCTTTGAAGGAAGAGGGAGAGTGCCATGAAGGTCCAAAGAATGTAGTTGGACTAAAATCTGTAGGATGTTTCATATGCAATTTCAAGTAAAAAAGAGAACAGGTACTATGGAGATATTCGTAGCAAAGGCAATACGAATGTAAGCTGCCAAGTCCACTAGCGTGTCAGTCATGCTGTGACTGACATGTACTCATCTAGTTGTACTCACCTAGTTGTACTTGTGGGGGTTGAGCTCTGGTTCTTTGGTCCTGCCTCTCAACTTTCAATCAACTGGTGTACAGATTGCTGAGCCTACTGGGCTCTATCATATCCACATTTGGAACTGTGTATGGAGTCAGCCTCCACCACATCACTGCCTAATGCAGTCCATCTGTTAACTACTTTGACATTTAAAAAGTTCTTTCTAACGTCCCTGTGGCTCATTTGGGTACTCAGTTTCCACCCGTGTCCCCTTGTTTTCGTCCCACCCGTGTTAAACAGTTTATCTTTATCTACCCTGTTAATTCCTCTTGAGAATTTTGTAGGTAGTGATCATGTCTCCCCTTACTCTTCTGTCTTCCAGTATCGTGAGATGCATTTCACGCAGCCTTTCCTCGTAACTCATGCCTTTTAGTTCTGGGACTAGCCTAGTGGCATACCTCTGAACTTTTTCAAGCTTCGTTTTGTGCTTGACAAGATATGGGCTCCATGCTGGGGCCGCATACTCCAGGATTGGTCTTACATATGTGGTATACAAGGTTTTGAATGATTCCTAGCACAGGTTCCTGAAGGCAGTTCTGATGTTTGCCAGCCTTGCATAAGTCGCAGATGTTATTCTTTTTATGTGGACTTCAGGAGACAGGTTTGGTGTGATATCAACTCCTAGATCTTTCTCTCTGTCCGTTTCATGGAGGACTTCATCTCCCATTCAGTATCCTGAGTCTGGCCTCCTGTTTCTTCCGCCTAGTTTCATTACCTTACATTTACTCGGGTTGAACTTTAGTAGCCGTTTGTTGGACCATTCATTCAGTTTGTCTAGGTCATCTTGTAGCCTCATACTATCTTCCTCCGTCTTAAACCTGCTCATAATTTTTCATCATCAGCAAACAATGAGAGGAACGATTTTATACCCTCTGGGTTTAGAATCGTTTACATATATCAGAAACGGTATAGTTCAAGGATTGAACCCTGCGGAACTCCACTGGCGACGCCTCGCCAATCTGAGGCCTCACCCCTCACAGTGACTCGCTGTGTTCTGTTACTTAGGTACTCCCTTATCCAATGGAGTACCTTCCCTTTCACTCCTGCTTGCATCTCCAACTTTTGCACTAGTCTCTTGTGTGGTACTGTGTCAAAGGCTTTCTGGCAATCCAAAAATATGCAGAGTGCCCACCCCTCTCTTTTTTGCCTGATTTTTGTTGCCTTACCTTGAGGTTACCTTGAGGTGATTCCAGGGCTCAGCGACCCCGCGGCCTGGTCGTCGACCAGGCTTCCTCGTTGCTGGACTGGTCAACCAGGCTGTTGGACGCGGCTCCTCGCAGCCTGACGTATGAGTCACAGCCTGGTTGATCAGGTATCCTTTGGAGATGTTTGTCAAGTTCTCTCTTGAACACTGTGAGGGGTCGGCCAGTTATGCCCCTTATGTGTAGTGGAAGCGTGTTGAACAGTCTCGGACCTCTGATGTTGATAGAGTTCTCTCTCAGAGTACCTGTTGCACCTCTGGTACTCCTCTCTTCCCTTATCACAGAATTCAATTAATCCTGTGAGGCATGACTTGCCATTCATGTTGGTGTTGCGTCACAAAGTTTCTTCGCTCCAGATGTTCCACTAGCTTTTTTTCGCACAATTTTCTCCATCAACTTGCATGGTATGCAAGTTAGCGACACTGGCCTGTAGTTCAGTGCCTCCTGTCTGTCCTCTTTCTTGTATATCGGGACTTCATTTGCCATCTTCCAAATGTTTGGCAGTTCACCAGTGATTTGTTATACACCATGGAGAGTGGCAGGCACAGTGCTTCTGCTCCTTCCTTTAGTATCCATGATGATATTCCATCCGGGTTTATAGCCTTTGTCACATCCAACTCTAGCAAAAGTTTCCTTACATTCCCACTGGTAATCCCAAAGTCTTCTAGTTATTTTATCTTGAGATGATTTCAGGGCTTGGCGTCTTCACAGCCTGGTTCTCGACCAGGCCTCCTTTTTGTTACTCACCCCCCTGGGAAGCAGACAGTAGCAGCTGGCTAACTCCCAGGTACCCATTTACTGCTAGGTAAAAGGGGCATCAGGGTGAAAGAAACATTTTGCCCATTTATCTCCGCCTCCACCGGGGATCGAACCCGGAACCTCAGGACTACGAATCCGAACTGCTGTCCACCCAGCTGTCAGGTGCCTAGTGGTGCCGGAATAATTATTCCTTCTCTTATCTCTGGAACTCCTCCTTGCTCTAATGTGAAGACCTCCTCGAATTTCTTATTAAGTTCTTCACACACTTCCTTGTCGTTTGTAGTGAATCTGTCTGCCCCTATCCTCAGTTTCATTATCTGTTCCTTCACTGTTGTTTTTCTCCTGATGTGGCTGTGCAGCAATTTAGGTTGAGTCTTTGCCTTGCTTGCTATGTCGTTTTCTTATTGCCCTTCTGCCTCTATTCTCACCCTGACGTATTCATTCCTGGGTCTCTCGTATTCTTCTCTGCTCTCAAGTGTCCTGTTATTTCTATAGTTTCTCCACGTCCTTTTACTTAGTTGCTTTGCTAGCATACATCTCTGATTAAACCATGGGTTTCTTATCTGCATTTAATTTTTTCCCTTTTGGATCTGGATAAACTTGTCTGCTGTCTCCTTACACGTCTGCGTAATGTATTCCGTCATGTCTTGGGCCTTCTTTTCCCTGAGCTCTGTTTCCCATGTTATATCTGTTAGGAATTTTCTTATCTCCACATAGTTTGTTTTCCCTTATGAAATGCCAGCCTTTTGTTTTCAGGTCCCTTCGTTGAGTACATTAATCCTTCTTCGACCAGATATTCAATACACTGTGATCGCTCATTCTTACTGGAGCCTAGAAGCCGATTTTTGTTATGTCAGAGTCGTTCAGAGTGAAGACTAGGTCGAATCTCGCTGGTTCATCATTTCCCCTCATTCTTGTGAGTTCCCTGACATGGTGGTTTAAAAAGTTTTGTTGTTGCCACCTCCAATAGTTTAGCTCTCCATGTTTCCTCTCATCTATGCAGTTCCTTGTTCTCCCAGTGTATCCTTCCATGATTGAAGTCCACCCATGATGAGCAATTGGGATCGAATTCTACAAGCAGAATTCTTAAATGTGTAAGCCTAATTGATAGGGGAAGAACCATTGGAATTATTCCAAAATTATATAACCGTGGCTAGGATTGAGGAGGGTGAACACCGATTAAACCTATTATGACGATTGGGACATTTAAACTTGCTATCCCCCCCCCATCACTGCAGCCATACAACATCCAACCTCTCTTCCTTCCCCTGATTGTGCCTATGGCACTTCTGTTATTCACTGGCTCCATTTTGCATTTCCATATCGTTAACTCCAGTATGTTGTTATTTTACTGTGCAAATTTGGGACCAGTATTTTACATGTATATATTATTTGATATCTCTCTCGTCTCCTTTCTAGAGAGAACATCTTGAGAGGTTTGAGTCGATCCTAATAGTTTAGGTGCTTCATTGTGTTTATGTATGCCGTATATATATGTTCTATGAATTCCTTCTATTTCAACAATCTCTTCTGCTCTGAAAGAGAAAGTGAGTATCGAGCAGTACTCAAGACGGAAGAACATTCCGACTTAGACCAGATTTGGCATTAAAAGGAAAAGGACAGCTTGCTACTTCTCCTGGAGGCTCCTTGCTCCTACGTCCACCACATATTGCAGTGGTGTGACGGGGGAATGTACTTCAATGGTACTGCTCACACCAGCAAGAATTACTGAAGGCGGGAGTTCTCGAGTATGAAGAACTCGCAAATAGCTTCTGATAGCTATTTCCCTTTTGTGAACAAATCTGGTTGTGTTCTGCATTATGTATTTCGTTTAAGTTCTTCATTTTTACCATATCTAAGTAATTGGAATTTATCACTGTTAAAAAAATCATATTATTTTCGTTGTCCAATGAAGATTCATACTAGCCTGTCTGTTTTAAATGTCTTCAACTGTGGTAATTTGTATGTAGAATTTTGTACCGTCTGCACTAGATAACACAAAGCTGTGACTTGTATTTTTGTTTATGACTGACATGAGAATGAAAAAATGAGCCCTTGGGTACAGGGCTCAAAGACTGTGTCCATGGGTACAGAGCTCAAGGACTGTGTCCATGGGTACAGAGCTCAAGGACTGTGTCCATGGGTACAGAGCTCAAGGACTGTGTCCATGGATACAGATCTCAAGGACTGTGCCCATGGATACAGATCTCCAGGACTGCGCCCGTGGATACAGATCTCAAGGACTGTGCCCATGGGTACAGAGCTCAAGGACTGTGCCCATGGATACAGAGCTCAAGGACTGTGTCCATGGATACAGAGCTCAAGGACTGCGTCCATGGATACAGAGCTCAAGGAGTGTGCCCATGGGTACAGAGCTCAAGGAGTGTGTCCATGGATACAGAGCTCAAGGACTGCGCCCATGGGTACAGAGCTCAAGGACTGTGTCCATGGATACAGAGCTCAAGGACTGCGCCCATGGGTACAGAGCTCAAGGACTGTGTCCATGGATACAGAGCTCAAGGACTGCACCCATGGTACAGAGCTCAAGGACTGCGCCCATGGGTACAGAGCTCAAGGACTGCGCCCATGGATACAGAGCTCAAGGACTGTGCCCATGGGTACAGAGCTCAAGGACTGCGCCCATGGGTACAGAGCTCAAGGACTGCGCCCATGGGTACAGAGCTCAAGGACTGCGCCCATGGGTACAGAGCTCAAGGACTGCACCCATGGGTACAGAGCTCAAGGACTGCGCCCATGGGTACAGAGCTCAAGGACTGCGCCCATGGGTACAGAGCTCAAGGACTGCGCCCATGGGTACAGAGCTCAAGGACTGTGTTCATGGATACAGAGCTCAAGGACTGCGCCCATGGGTACAGAGCTCAAGGAGTGTGTCCATGGATACAGAGCTCAAGGACTGCGCCCATGGGTACAGAGCTCAAGGACTGTGTCCATGGATACAGAGCTCAAGGACTGCGCCCATGGGTACAGAGCTCAAGGACTGCGCCCATGGATACAGAGCTCAAGGACTGCGCCCATGGGTACAGAGCTCAAGGACTGCGCCCATGGGTACAGAGCTCAAGGACTGCGCCCATGGGTACAGAGCTCAAGGACTGCGCCCATGGGTACAGAGCTCAAGGACTGCGCCCATGGGTACAGAGCTCAAGGACTGCGCCCATGGGTACAGAGCTCAAGGACTGCGCCCATGGGTACAGATCTCAAGGACTGCGCCCATGGGTACAAAGCTTTTCATTATGCTCAAACTTGGAAATTGAATATCCGTCAGCCTGTTTTAGCTGACATTCCTTTGTACTTCATTGTATGGGCTATAATTCCATGGTCACTTTTATTAAACACAGCAGCAAAGAACATGTATATAACTTCGGTAATTTTTTTAATGCTTCTATCATTTTGTCATAGTGGTTATCAAATGCAAAGGTTATCATCTTTCTACTCTAAATCCACGTTGACCTGGGGGTGACCTGGGGGGTGTGAATTTCATTGCTTGACATGAAACTGGAGATTTGACCTGGGGCTGAGTGCATGTTGTCAATTCCTCTCTGAGTCTATGCTCATATTATTAACAGTTATATTGTCAGAGTTGTGGATATTGTGCATAAAGACGCTGTCCGGATCTTCAACTTTAATGTTGTATATTGGGGTGCTAAACATAACCTCATAATGTCCATTTAGGATTTCATTAATTTCTTTGTTGGTCTCAATGTAAGAATCTTTACTTGTAAGTATACGTTCAACGTTGATGGAGCGTTTTTATTTTGTTTTGTATATGTGAAAGTATTCAAAATTGTCCATTCACTTTCATGGATTTCTATTACATTTCCATTTCTTCAGTCTGGCGTGATCGCTGTAGCTTCTACTCTATTTCTTCACACTTTGCTTAAATTACTTTTTCTTAGTTGGGATATTTATGTCTGTTTAAGCACTTAAGTTATTCTTCAAATTCTTCTATGGTGTCGTCTGTGTTCTTGCATTTTTAAACCTTGCCTCACAAATCATTACACAAGACATCACACAAATAAACATCACATCCCACCAATGATCCTGACAATACACTAATAAACCACCATCTCACACCAATAAATCCAACCTCACGTGAATAAACTCCATTCCGGTCCAATAAACGCGACTTTATACTATTATTCCCGACCTCACACCAATAAACCTCATAACAAATTCCATTCTGCACCAATAAACCCAACCTCACACAAATAAACTCAACTTCACACCAATAAACCACATTTTACAATAATGAGCCAAACATCAGTGTTCACCCACCCCCCTCCCTCCCAACACCAATAAAACTTCAGTATCCCTTCAGGTGGGCCGCACACACTCGCTGCATCAGACGGAGGAGGACATGCGCGTTGGCCAGAGGCTGGAGAGGGCAGTGGCCTGGGGGTCTTCAGTGCCTTGGTCAGCATCTTCACAGGAGCTGCTGACCACTCTGGCCCGAGGCGTGGTGCTGGCCGTCGACACTCCCTCTGCTGCAGGAGAGAACCAGAGCTGTAGCCCATTGTGTTGGTGGTGGTTGTTGGGGTGGTAGTGTAGGAATTGTTACGTCATGGGGTTTACCTGTTACTTGTGTTGGTGTTCCCCACACGAGAACTGACCACACAGTGACAATTACCACACCATGTGTAGAAGTACCTGATCAGCTCATACTATTCCTGGCCTGCCATGACACCTCCCGCTCACAACGCTGCCTCACAACACCCTTGAGTGCTTTGCAGCCCCAGGTATGCCTCCACAATGTGACCGAAAGGATTACTCTTCAGGGATTTTACATTTGTATTGCTCACTGATAAATCTCTGAACTTCAGTGCAGAGATCTTTCTCAACTCTCTCTCTCTATATATATATTTAGCACTCAACCTTCCTGAGGTACCCCAGTTATTGAGGTACCCCAGCTCACAGAGGTACCCCAACACACCGATGCTCTCAGCACCTCTGTGATCTTGGCAATCACGGAGTTTACACAACAAAGAACGCCATTCTGGGACACCCAGTAAGTGTTGTACAGTCAGCAGAGCACCACACTCGTCACAGCTTGGTGCAGTACAAGTTAACAGGTAGCTGTGTTAAGTGAGGATGGACTATCTTCAAACAAGTCATCATAAACTCCTCTCAGCATGGCTAGGTGCAATATTACTAGTCAATAACTTTTTTTTTAACCACTATTGTGTACTGTTGTTGTTTTTTGAGGGGAGACGACGGCTGAGGGATCGGATGCGCCACGGCTGCCCGATACCGAGAAATAGTGAAGAGGGATGGGATCCCTACAGCCTGTGCAGGCCATGAACGTGACCAATGAAGTAGAAGGAATGATAAAGGATGTCATAATGGATGTCCTCATCTCTCACAACTGCCCCATGAAGAGAACAGGAACAGGAACAGGAATGAGGTGGGGAATATGCAGCGTACGGACGGCACTATGTAGTCTGACGCGAATGCTATAAAACCAAGGATAGTGAAGGTGTTCCACAGTATCCTGGTTCAGACACACTGGCAGTAGGGAGACTCTACCTACCACAGACGATGGAGATGTGCAGCCAGGCAGAAGTGCTCAATCCGGAAGCGAGTGAGGGCCGTATTGAGGAGTTGAGAACAGCAAAGAGTACACAGACTTGGGGAGGAGCTCTCTCAGAGGTTTGACAGAGAAGAGGACCAAAGGGCTAGCGCCATCTCCACCTCCCAACCCACGAGGCAGGCTGCCTGGAGCTACAGGAGGTTTTCCATAAAGTCCAGAGGTAAATGTATAAAGTCTTGGAGTCCATATACTGCTGTGTCAGCTACGTCATGACCACTAATCTCAATATGTCACGGAACCCATTGAGGAGAAAGACCGTCCAACACAAGGTACCAGCATACGACAACAGTTTCTCCTTAGATGTGACACAGTGTGACAGTAGACCCGAGGACGCCGAGATAATATAAGATGCAGGACCCTTGTAGAAATAACAGAGTCCATGTGGTATACGACCGCTGAGGTTCTGGAAACTTGTTGGAGTCTTAAGGCCAGCAAGATTGTGAACAGTTTCCTTGCCAGGTATGAATGAGGAGAGGAGAGCGTTCATGTCTGGCAGAAAGAGAAAGGAGCAAAGTTAGCAGCCAATGAGGTAGAGACGGCTGATCGATGTGGGACACATTCGTGTAAACCTCCAAGTATCCAGAGACTCGCAGATCTGAAAAAATCGAAGGGGCGAGACCATCTAAATCCTTCTTCTGGCGAGGAGTCTTGGAAAAATCCACAGACATCCAGATGAGCTCCTCTACCCATGGAGGTACCAGAGAGATGACCATACCAGGGAAGGGTACAGGTACAGGAAGGAAAAACTGTAAATATGCATCCAGAGCCCGAATGATGAAAGGCAATTGGAACTGAATGCCTGAAATGTGCAGCAGGCACAACCCACCAAAGATTCTCGAGCTGCAGGTGAGTAAGCACATGGGTAGCAGGGAGATGCACTATCCATTGGAGCCGACAACAGAGGGCGAGATGGCGTACCCTCGACTGTGCATGGAGAGAGAACTGGCGTGGAGGTCATCACCCCTAGTGTGGAGCACAAGGCGGCATTTTGAACAGGATCCAGCCATGCAAAGACAGATGAAGCTGCTGAGCCATAGACTTCACTCGCATACATGATCTTTGTACGAATGAAGGCCTTATAGAGGGATAGGAGCGACTCCTGTGAAGCTCCCCATGCCATCCCATTGAGGATTCTGTAGCCAGCAGCCATCATGGCCGGACGTGTCTCTGGTTGCTCCAGCTCTCTCTCTCTCTCCCAGCGCTTCACTCTAAAAGGTCGGACCACACTCCCAGCTTGGTGTTTTATACCAGTAAGAGTCGGGGGCTTTCTCCAGTGATGTGATTTGACGATCAGAGTACTACCCAAACAGCTCTTGTTCCCTGCTCCCAATACCATGCGTTTGTTCTCTACAAAGTCCAAGGAACGCCGGTCAATGAGCATGCGTTCGGCAAGACCGACCAACCTGAAGCTTTTTAAGGATGTTTACTTGGTGGAGTAACACCTATCGACATCAGCCAGGAAGGCACGGACATCGTTTTCTACTTCTCGAGCGAAGATGACCTTGACAAACTGGTGAGTGTCCACTTCGACTTTAAAGAACTCCACCTCCTGCTCAACTTCCCACGTCAGTACCTTGCTGCATGTACTGTCTTTATTAGTAATCTCAGCCACTGGATCATAGAATGGGACCTAGCAAATACCTCGGCTTTTATGGGCGATATCCAAGACTCAAACCCAGAAATGGAGTTCTACCAAGCTCTTCATCACCGACCACACCTTGAAGTGCACCTTCGTCAACGTAGCCTCGGCTATCCTGGCTACCAAAAATAGTATCTACAGCTTTGGCATCCACATTCCGCCATTCCGTGTGATGATGGAAAGATTCTACAACGTCAAATGGTGCCTCCGATGGTATGAGTACTCCCACTCTACTAACAATTGTCAGCAGCCCGTCCAGAAATGCAGCATTTGCACCAAGGACAGTCACTATCCAATCTGCACATCGAAAACTCCATGCTGTCGGCTCTGTGACAGCAGCCATACAGGAATTTCCCATCGCTGCCCCTGCATACAAAAAGTCATCAAGAAACTGGAGAAAGCCAAGTCATCCTGTACAGCTGGCACCAACTCAAGCACTTCAGCTCTACTCAACCAATCACAAGCCGAGTCAACCTTCAGCGTGCAAGCTGCCATCTTTCCGGATCTTTCAGGTGGCGATGGAGCCACTATATACCAAATCAACCAATGAGGACCCAGCTCCCAAACCACCAGTCACCCACTAAACTAGCAGTCTCCACCAAAATCTCTCCAAGACCAATCACCGTATAGCACGATCCACGCTTTATCAACAACGGCCAGGATGATTGCAGGTTCCAACCCACAGGAATAAGTGAGGATACTGAACATCCTTTACTCTGCGAATGGTCTTCCAACCTTCACTGTACCCGATGGGGTGGTACCCTACACCACCCCAACTCCAGCCACAAGGTCTCCTCCAGCTCCTTACCCGGACATCACTCTGAGCGAGGCCACCCTTACTGACCTAATGTCTGAAGCTGCCAGGGCCTCTCAGACAACTACTACAACGGAAGCAGCACCTTCTCATCCATTGACTTCTGATACAATTACACCCATCGTCCATGACCCCACAGAACCTTCTACAGCGACAGGATCTGCTGCTACTACTCAACCTCCAAAAGCTTATAGCAACTTGTATTCAGCTGACT